TATGTTAGAGATATTGTTGGATAATTTCCACTCTGTCATTTTTTATTGGGAATAAATATGGATATTTTCCAGTCAGTTTGAGTCATAGCAACAATGTGAACAATAAATCTGAACCTTGTCCTATTCTGTGTCATCTTCACTATCTACAGTCCCCATCATTTTTTACAAATGTATTCCAAAACAATAAAAAAATTTAAAAAAAATCAATTTTCCACTTGTTCTGATTTGATAAACTGACCTCTGAAATGAATAGATTATACAATAAAGAGAAATGTAATCTGAATTCCTAGAATAAAAGCAATACCAGAATGGAAACAATGTTAACTAAAAAAAATTAAGATTTTTGCATTTATAACCATAAATTAGATTACTGTGCATTTTATACTTGATAGTTGCTAACGTGAATATATCTCATCAAGTTAATAGAGAATCAATATTCATTTGCATGGTTAATTTTAATATTTGAATCAACATATAATTTTCATTTAATATAAACAGTGGTCTATTAATTATATCCTGTCAAATTATATTTCATATAAAGTATAAACAAGATATGTTTTAAAGACCAGAATTCCTGGAATTATTTTTTCCTTCTTGTTGTGAAATAATGTGACTTCTTGAGTCTCTAACTTATTTTATTTATTTTAATTATTAATGAATAGTTAAATGAATAAAGGTAAAGTCACATAAAAAAATTTCATGTTGTGTTGTTAGGTGGCATTGAGTTGGGCACATCCCATAGCAACCCAATGAACAACAGATATGAATGCTGTTTTATCCTGTGCCATCCTCACACTTCCTGACACATTAGAGCCAATTGTAGCTGTCACTGTGTCAATCAACCTGAATGAGCATCTTCCTCTCCTTTGCTGACTCTCTACATTTTCAAGCATCATGTTTGCCTCCATGGATTTTCTGTTTGCATTTTCTCCAAGACATATTTGTTCTTTTGGCCATACACGGGATGTTTGCTACTCTGCTCCAACTCCACAACTCAAAGGTATCAATTCGTCTTCTGTCATCCTTAGGCATTATCCTGCTTTCTGATGCATAATAAATGACCAGAAGGACCAGGGCCTAAATCAGACGTATTGTAGTCCTCACATTTACAAAATTGTTCCTCAATAATTTGGAGAGGTCCTTAACTGCAGACTTTCCCAGTACAATACGTCTTCTGATTTCCTAACTGCTGCTACCAAAAAGTGTTAATTGTGTATCCAAGTAGATGAGGTTGTTAACAGTTTCCACCTTTTTTTCTACTTGTTGTGATGTTGCCTGTTGGTCCAGTGGTAAGAATCTTTGTTTTCTTGACATTAAGATGCAATCCATATTGAAGCCTGTATTCTTTGATCTTCTGCAACAACTGCCTTAGGTCATCCTCACTTTCAGAAAGCAAGATTGTATCATCTGCATAATTGATGAGTTTTCCTCCAATCCTGATGCCACTTTCCTCTTCATAAAGTC